TCTCTCTTTGAAGTTTTCGCCATGGTTCTCCGATCAGTAAATTCATGGACGTTCCTCTTGTTCTTGGGGATTTTATCGCGAGTTTCTCAATCTCTTCACTTCGAATTGCAATCGGGCCGAACAAAATGTATATCGGAGGACATCAAAAGCAATTCCATGACCGTCGGGAAATACAGCGTCGTTAACCCCAACGAAGCTCATCCTTCACCTCCTTCTCACAAGATCTCCATCAGAGTAAACTCCAAATTCCGATTTCTCGATTTGTTGATTTTGTTTCTCACTCTCGATTGAACCATACACAGGTGACATCGAGCTACGGGAACACGTATCACCACGCGGAAGATGTGGAATCGGGGCAATTCGCGTTCACGGCGGTGGAAGCTGGAGATTACATGACTTGTTTCACTGCCGTCGACCATAAACCTGAGGTTACTTTGAGTATTGATTTGGATTGGAGAACAGGTGTTCACTCTAAGAACTGGAATAGTGTTGCTAAGAAGAGCCAAGTCGAAGTGAGTTTATATTGTTGGTGAAATACTCTCTAGTCGTTAGTCTTGTGTTTGGTATATTGATGGTAGTTTGATGAATTAGATAGAGAAAGTGTTCTGGAATTGGAAATGTTTTAGGTTACTTCTTTGGGATTTGTTGTTCAAGAAGCTCCAATTGTACAACTTGATAATCCAGTGGGATTTGTTGAGATGGATAGATTAGACTAGTTTTTGTTCTTGTGTTGAACAATGTTGATGTTATTCTCATTTTCATGTATCTTTGACGACGATAAAACTAGATTCTTATGCTACTTCTCTGTTGTCTTCGTTTGTACCAAGGTCATGGTGTTTGAGGTCAAGAAACTGATTGAAACCGTCAACTCGATTCATGAAGAAATGTTTTATCTCAGAGACAGGTAAACAATTTTTTTTCTTTTTTACGCTTTGCGATGAGCTCCAATTTCCAATCTTTTTTCCTTGAATCATGTAATGTTTTTGAATTAGGAGTTGTGGTTATAATGTCATGAGTTTTGTTTCTTCAGGGAGGAAGAGATGCAAAATCTGAACCGAGCTACAAACTCCAAAATGGCGTGGTTGACTTTCCTCTCTCTTTTCGTATGCTTAGGAGTCGCCGGAATGCAGTTTTTGCATTTGAAGTCGTTTTTGGAGAAGAAGAAAGTCATCTAAGATGGTTAGATGGAACAATCCCACTCTTTTCTTTTCCCAACTCAAGGAATCCTTTATTCCCTGGGTTTTGTACATTTAGATCTTGGCCTCGTGCATGTACTCTTGGAACTGGAAACTAAATGAATATGAAAGTATTGCCCTTTTTGCAGTTTCTTGCACCAAAAAGAAGCATATTGTTATAGATTAAAATTTTAAAACGTCAAGGCATTATTACTTTTCCATTTTTTAATAACAGCAACATTATAGAAAGGGTTAAGAATCTAAATGCTTAATTGGAGCAAATTTGCAAGATATTGAGTTGAAATGTGACGCCAAAAAACAAAAGATTCACTGTCACGAAAAACTTTTCGAAACTCTCAATAGCTTCGTTGGAAACTTGGTCCAGTGCATTAAACCATAGTTAACAAGTTTTCTCTGAGTTAATTGTTCTGTTCTCACATTCTCTCTCGAAGAGAACAAACCAGAAGACTTGCTTCTTTTGTCGCCTGCAAGTGAAGAATCTCTTTAACGAGATTGTGAAGTGCAAAGTGATGACATTTCAATTTCTTAAAGGTTCACAACCAACTGAGAATTGATGCCTTTATCCACATATGACGCAGTCGGAAAACCTTAAGGTCAGCAAGCGCTAAACCTTAGAATAAATTCAAGTTCTCAAGCAAAGAACTTGAAGAGAAAACTCTGGAAATCCACCAGATTAGAGAAAAGTTCTCAAG